ACAGTATTTGTCTGCGTCTCATTGGGCCCTAGGAAGCATCACTCCCTCCCAAATGTTCACCCTTCCTGACCCTGACCCTGCTATCTGACCCTCAAGGTCAAACAGGAAAGATCACCCTACCTATATTCTCCTACTCCCAGAAGCCCGCAGATTAAAGGAGAAAATGATTTTGTGTTTTGTGGGAACTTACGGCGCGGAGGTCAAAGCCCTAGACGAGGAGTCAGATACCAAGGTCCCCAGCCTGGTTCTATTGCTGGTTCACCATGTGGCCTTGGATAAGCCACTTCTCTCTGGCCTTAGCCTCATCTATAAAATGAGAGGTGGGATGAGTTTTTCTTGCAGAGCCCTGCCAGTTCTAGTACTCTCCTGCTCTGCCCTATTGGTGGCTCCCGAGGCTGGGAGAGGCCAAAATCTGCAGGCCAGTATTTCTCCAAACACTGGCTCGGGGCAACAGACACCCTCCAGCATCCCCAGCGGGCTGGTGCCAAACGTATGAGCACAGCCAAGTGTCAGCACTCAGCGTAAGGAGCCTGAAGGCAGGCGAGACAAGCAGGGCCAGACAGGGTCCCAGCCGAGCCAAGACTGCAGCCAGGGCACATTGTTCCGGGGCAAAGCCGGATTCTGCAGCTTCTCTCACAGATGCTTCCTTACTTGTCGGATAAAGACAGACAAGGCCCCCAAAGGAATCAGAAACATACACTTCAGGGACCAGACCAGCGGGTAGAGTTAAGGTTCTTTGTTTGTTAATACATGATTTTAGTTAAGGTGTAGACATTCAGGGTAAATTTCCCTAAAGTAAGGAGAACTCTAGTCCAATTTGTCTACTGCAGTGAAAATTACTGGATAATGCTTTTGCCATGTTATAAATTCTCATGTCCTACCAAACCTCATGTAAGTAGAACTTCAGATCAGCTTAACAGCAACATCTATAGGTTTTTACCCCACTTACCCTAGCAAAGGAGCCCTGGTGGTATAGTGGTTAAAGCAATTGGCTGCTAACTGAAAGGTCGGCGGTTCGAAACCAGCAGTGGCTCGGTGGGAAAAAGATGTGGCAGTCTGCTGCCATAAGATTTACAGCCTTAGAAACCCTATGGGATCGCTATGAGTCAGAATCGACGGCAGTGGGTTTATAAAATCACCAGCTAACCAGTTGTCATAGAGTGGATTCCGACTCCTGGCAACCCCATGTGTGTCAGAGTAGAGCTGTGCTCCATAGGGTTTTTAATGGCTGATTTTTCAGAAGTAGACCACCAAGCCTTTCCTCCAAGGTATCTCTGGGTGGACTCAAACCTCCAACCTTGCAGTAGTAACTGAGTGCATTAACCCTCTGCACCACTCAAGGATTCCCAGGCATAGCATACATAGAGGAAAATGCACATATCATACATGTACAGCTTGATATCTTTTCATGAAATAAACACATCGGTGAAATAAGCGCCCAGACCAAGAAACAGAAAGGCACTTGCACCCCCAAAATCCCTCTGAAGCTCCCTTCAGTCACTAGCGCCCCAAGGATGACCACTATGCTGACTCCTGGGACCACTGATTCGTTTTGCCTGTTTGGAACTTTCATAAACGAAAGTCTACAGTATGTGCTCTTCTGACTCTGGCTTCGTTTTGCTCAACATTATGTTTGTGACCTTCATCTGTCCTCACATATAGCAGACTGTCACTCATTTCCATTTTTGCAGAGTAAGGATTGAACGAAGGGCTAAAGGCAGGCAGGTAGCTCTGAGTCTAGGCGAGGGTGCTCACTGATGGCAGAAGAAGCAGGTTTAAATACAGCTACCCCGTATTCAAACAGGGTGATCAGAGCAGTTCTCTGCTATTGTTCATAAAGTCCCATGCCTCCCTCCTGGGGGGCTCCAGAGATGGGAGGTGGGGCCTTGATGCCCCAAACCTATTTCAAAGGCCCAGTCCATCATCTGGTAAAGGCCAGAAGTTCTTGGTTATTGAACACTTACCCTGTACCCCTCTGTGAGGGACCCTTTAGACTCAGCATCTCATTTAATCCTCACGACCATGAAGCAGGTACTGTCATTATTCCTATTTTACAGGTAAGAAAACTGAGGCTCAGAGAGGTTGAGTAAGTTGCCCTAAGGTTGCACAGCTGGAAAGCGGGCCCAAACCTCAAAGTGCGTAACCCCAAAAGCCAAATTTGTTCATCACCCTGTGCTGGCAGGGAGCTCGCCGGCCAGATCTAGCGCCCCTTGCCCCCAGCTCACTTTCTGAGGCCACACTGGCCTCTTGCCGGCTCCTCAGGCCCCCGGCTCTTCCTGCCTCAGGGCCTGCGTCCATGCTGTTGCTTTGCCTGCGCTTACCCATTGGTTCTCAAGTTAACATCTTCCAAATAACTTCCCTGACCTCCCAGCCTAAAGTATGTCCCTCATTACTCTTTCCCAGAGCACTGTGTTCTCTCCTTTCATAGCCCGTAACACACGTTACAAGGACGTATCCTTTTGTGTTCACTTGTTTAGTGCCTTTCTCCACCAATAATAAATAATAAACTGCAAGAGGTTAGGAATGTGTCTGTGCTATTTACCACGGCCTTGAAGAATGCCTGGCACACAGTAGGTCCTCAGCAATACTGTGAAGTGAAAAAAGGTGGGGAGGGATGGATAGGACTGTCCTTCAGAAGCCAAGCCCTCACCTGAAGTCAGCTCTTGTTCCAGCCTGTTCTATGGGCCCAGGCAAGACCCTTCCCCTCTCTGAGCCTCAGTTTCCTCAACAGTCAAATGAGGAGCTGGAAGAGAGGACCTCTAAAGGCCTTCTAGCTCTTCTGACCTTGAGACCACAAATCCTAGGATGTCCAGTCACTTCAAAGGTTCCAGGGCTCCAGACCTCTGCTGCCTCTTGCCCCCTCATGCCTAGTTAGCACCTTAGAAAGTGGGGTACATCCCAAGGCTCCCCAGGCTTCCAGGTACATCGGGCCTTTACTCCCTGTGCCAGAAGGAGAACCAAAAAGCATGAGGCTTCTTCCACCTCTAATAGCTCATGTCCCTGATGCCCCAGGGAACTGCTTCTACTTCCTTCTTCAGAACCCCTGGATCCCTGCCCCCAACTACTGCATTCTCAGCCCACCGGGATCACAGAGTTCCATCCAACTCCGCCCTTGCTGTCATGCGCATGGCTGCCCACCCCCTAAGGCTGGAGCTCTAGGAGGGTGAGATTGTCTATGTTTTGCTCACCTTTGTACCCACGGCACTCGGCACAGATCTCTACACCCAGGATGTGACCAAGGTAAGGTCACCAAATCAAATGCTGCTGGCAAGGCCTGCTAGGATCTTCTGTTGAGGATGCCACTTTTCCTTTTTCCCTAGTGCCCCCGAGATCAGGAGAAGCACGTGAGGTGGACAGAGCCTGGCTGAACGTGCCCGGGCCTGGCACGCTCTGACCTCCTCCCGCCCGGCTCACCAGGGCCCGGGTGGCCAGTGGCAGCCGGAGAGTCATATCCCTCTGGGGCTCTGCATTCACTCACTCCTCCACCCAGTCGGCACTCTGACAACTAGCGGCCTGGACAGACACTCCCTGAGCTTGAAGCAACTGCTGCCTCCCAATCTTCTCAGAATAAGGCTCCCTTGGCTTTGATGCTCTTTCTGTTTTGTCTTTAAAATCAAAGAAAGCAAGAGAATTAGTCCTGGCCCAAGAGTTCCAGTTCTAGAAAGGGAAAAGGTCTCCTGTTTTACCTCTTGGATACAGTGGAGTTTTTTACCCAGGTTTTCACTGTGCTGGGTGTGTGAAGGGATGAGGCTGGGTGTACAAGTGAGCAAGTGAGTGTGCAAACGCTGTGCGCATAGGAGAGAGCACGATCAGGCGAGCGGGTACAACTGGGCTGGTCAGAACCCTGGTGATGTCACTTGTGACTGTGCAACTTTGGGCTACCTGCTTAAACTCTTGAGACCACAGTTTCCTCATCTGAAAAACGAGAGTAAAAATAATTCCTCTTTCATGCACTGTTGTGAGGATCAAACTTTAGGACAGGTGCTTTGTAATCGCTAAACCAAAAAGCCAGTTGCCGTCAAGGCAACTCTGACTCATGGAGACCCCACATGTGTCAGAGTAGAACTGTCCTCCATAGGGTTTTCAGTGGCTGATTTTTCAGAAGTAGATCACCAGGCCTTTGTTCTGAGCTGTCTCTGGGGGAACTCAAACCACCAACCTCTCGGTTAGTCAGTGAAACACCATCTAAATACCAGAAACGGAAGGTGAGAAGATAACCTCAGAAAACATTCGTTTCTCTCCAAACAGTAACAATTTTCAGGTCTCAGAGTCTAGTCCTGGCTGCGTTCTAGATTTAGCAAACCTGAAGATGCATCAAATAACTCAGACTCTAGGAAGCTTTAGGACGCGGCTCATGTGGTTGGTTACTCAAAACAAATCCATTTTCGGTAGGATTACTTCACCTAGAATTGAGGCTCTGAGCTTAAAAAAAAAAAAATTCCTAAGAACCACAGAGAATCCTAAGAGGGACCCAGAGAAGAAAACCAACAGGCCAGGCCTCAGTCCTCACCCTGGGACAGCTTAGTGAGAAGGGCTGTCAGATAAAACAAGAATCATTTCGTTTTGCCATAACTGTCAGCCAGGTTCTACTGAAGACATAAAAAACCAAAGCCGCTGCCATCGAGTCAATTCCATCCCATAGCAACCCTATAGGTTAGAGCAGAAGTGCCCCACAGGGTTTCCACGGAGCGGCTGGTGGATTTGAACTGCTGACTTTTTGGTTAGCAGCCGAATGCTTAACCACTGCACTACCAGGGCTCCACCGAAGACATAAAACTCAACAATCGTAGCCCCTTTTGATGACCAGTGTTTATTTCCAGAGAAAGGACTATTTGCAAAGTTATCCATGAAAATGAATAAACCTCAGGCTTGTTTTTAAAGCTTCCCACTAGTCTTGTGACAAGCCTGTGCCACAACTTTGTACAGCCGACAGTTGCACAAAGAGAAGCATAACCTTGGCTCCATCGCCCAGCCCCTCCACCTCTCACACAGTCTCTTACCTCCCCAGCTCCTCCCCGATGTCATAAAAGTCCTCCACCTTCTGCTGCTTGAACGTCTCCATGTCTGGGCTCCACATCGAGGCCTGGAGCCTACTAACCTGAAATGGAGTGAAACGCGAGGTTAGGACAGCCATGCCAATTAGCACAAGCCTAAGGGTCTAGGCTCTAAAAGTAATTGGCTGCAGGAGAGCTAATTTTATTATTTTTAGCTAATTGAATTTTTATTGTATTCATTTGTTGATTCATTCAACAAATTATTTTTATTGTGGTAAAAATATACATAACAAAACATTTGCCATTTCAACCTGTTGTAGGTGTCTAATCCAATGACATCAATGACGCTCACCATGTTGTCCAACCATCACCACTTGCTGGCTCCAGTTTTTTTCATCACCCTCAACAGAGGCTCAGTGCCCCTTAAGCAATAACTCCCCCCATTTTCCCTCCCATCATCTGCTGGTAACCACTGATAAGCTTTGGTCTCAATGCATTTGCCTATTCTAGATATTTCATGTAAGTGGGATCACACAATATTTGTCCTTTTGGGTCTTATTTCACTCAGCATAATGTTTTCAAGGTTTATGCATGTTGTAGCATATATCAGAACTTCATTTCTCTTTATGACTGAAATAATATTCCATTATACAGAAATACCACATTTTGTTTATCCATTCTTCTTTTGATGGACATTCAGGCTGTTTCCACCATTTAGCTATTGTGAGAGAAGCTAATCATTTAACAATAACCCACAGTCCCGGCTGTTTGAGGACTATTCTGCTCAAGCCTCTCACCTGTGACCGACAATGTATAGTTCTTATTTGATTTATATTCATTTAGATTTGTTAAGGGGAGAGAAAAAGAGGCCACCTTACTTGTTCAGATCTGCTCCAAAGAGGTTCAGAGGAACAGACCCATGGCGAACTTGGGCAATTTGCTGTCGTTAAATTCAGAGCTCCTGAGAAAAAAGGCAGCTATGATGTTACAATGCAGTAGAAAGGGCACTAGTTTTTGAGTCAGAAGTACTGGGTTCAAGTCCCAGGTCTGCTTGAGCAAGTCATTTTAGCTTCCAGAGCCTCAGCTTCCTCATCTATAAAATGGGGCTAATACTGTACAGATCAACAGCAATTCATAAAATTATTTTGCAAACTATAAAATGCTGAGAAGGGTAAGGGATTACCATGACCTCACCTCTCTCAGGGCCTGTGCGACCCAACTGCAAGTCTGAACCGATTTGTCAACTCTCTCACTCATGCCCAAGGGAAATACAGGTGGGAGTGGTGTGGCGAATTACAACAGGCACCAGGAGTCAGGAGCCTGAGGTCCTAGTTCCAGTTTTGTCCACAACTAGCTCTGTGACCTCAAGTCTTGTCAGAGGAGCCTCAGTTTCCTCATCTGTAAAATGGAGCTAACCCTGCCTGCCCAGGCACCTTAACAAGAGCCTCAGGATGGCTCTGAGCCCATGGGGGTGCTCCCCATGTCACAGGAGAAGCTGTTTGCATCCTCCTCAGGATGCCCCACCCCAAGGAGCTCACCTGTGCCCGGGAGAGCCACACGCCACCCTAGCCAGCACCCTGAGGGCAGGGCACAGGGCACAGGGCACAGGGCACAGGTGCCTGTGGATGTGTCTTTCAAGAGTCGTCAGCCAAGGCTTCTCGGAAATCATTTCAGCTGGCATTGGCAGCTTTTCTTCTGCCTGCTAATCAGATCCAGCCACACCCAGGCCCCGTGAACCCCGAAAGGCTGTTTTCCCCAGGCTGGGTGGGGGCACCATTACATAAGGGCGTATCTCATTATTCATCACCAAGTGGCTGGAGCTGTTCTAAGTCAAGGTGTGTATACATTTCACCCTCCTTCCTCCAGTTCTGCCCCCTGCAAACCAGAGCTCTGTTACCAGATGCTGCCTGCCTGCCTCCCTTCCTTCCACTGAGGCACACATGTCTCTGGAGACCCCCAGGCACAGCTGGCCTGGCTCCCAGCCTTGCTCTGAGGGTCACCCACCAACCTGATGCCTGTGGGCACCCATGGCTTATCCCACATCCTCCTCTATTCAGTCTTTACTCTGTTCTCGGCCAGGGCCCAGGCAAGCACAGAATACTGAAGAGTAGGTTCCAGGAGCCCGGGTCTAGACTAGCCTGGGTGTGTGTTGGCAGCGTGACCCCCAGCAGGTTAGCACTCTCTCTGGGTCTCAATCCCCTCACCTGTACACAGGGGTGATAACATCTACACCACCTATTCACATAGTTCCCATGAAGACCTATTGTGATAACGGTGTTGAAAACACTTTAAAAACCATAAACACTATACAAATAAGGATTATTATTATTACCATTATTATTTGACTCATCTGAGGCCAGTGTCTCTGTTTCTGCCTCCCACAGCCATTGAGACATCTGTTTGGTTCCTTTCTGGGGAAAAGGATTTGAGGTCCCCCTGGCAAGCTTGGCTTGACCAGAATCAGAAGCTAAGCCCACCCCCACCCCACCATCCTGGCAAATTTCCCGAGACTTGCTGTCTATCATCTTCCTTTTGCTGAAAAAAATTTTCCAAATAAACCATCTGTGTCAGGCCTCGGGGAGTGGGGTTACTTATTTCACATAGTTAGACAGAAGTAGGAACTCCAAAAACTTCTGCTGGCAGATACCCCAAGAGTGGTGACAGGAACAGCTAAGATCCTCTGCTTGGTGAGAGGCCAGCTCTGATTGCTATCCCCACCCAGTTTCCCTGCCTCAGGTTCCACTCCTGGGAGCCTGGGGGTGGCTGCCAGGGGAGCCCTCTAAGGACAAATCACGCCCACCAGTTTGGCCCCAACTTGCTTTTCCAGGCCTAGCACCCCCACTTATTCTATATTACAACCAAAGTAGACCTTTCCCATTCCCCAAAAACTTTCACCCCTGCCATACCCAGCGCAAGCTGGGTCCTTTCCGTGGGAGGATCTCCTGGAAAAACCGTTCCCTTCTGCGAGGCCCAGCTCAAACACCACCATCTCCATGAGGCTCCATGACCCTTTCTCCCCCAAAACCAGATGCAAACTCCCCCCCTTTAAACTCCCACAGAGTGCTGTGCATAGATTTTTAGGGAGCTCTGGTGGCACAATGGTTAAGAGCTTGGTTACTAGCCAAAAAGGTTGGCAGTTCGAATCCACCCGCCGCTCCTTGGAAACCCTATGAGGCAGTTCTACTCTGTCCTATAGGGTGGCTATGAGTCAGAATTGACTCAATAGCAACGGGTTTGGTTTTGGTTATCACATTCTGGTTCGTATTATAATCTATGTCCGTGTCTGAACCAGAGAGAGAGAGCACAGACTCTGTGGTCGCACAGGCCTAGGTTCAAATCCCAGCGCTGCCATTTTCTAGCACTTGCCAAGCACAGGGAAACTTCTCTGGGCTTCAAACTACTGACATGGGAAATGAGGTTAGACAATGACCAGCGTTACGAAGGAGGTAGAGAAACTTGAACTCTCAAACACCACCAGGGGAATGTACGCTGGGACAAGCGCTTTGGAAAACTGTCAGGCAGCTTCTATAGACATACCCACTCCTAGCTACCTACTCAAGAGACATGCATGCTAGAATGTTCACAAGGAGCCCTGGTGGTACAAACTATTAAGCGCTCGGCTGCTAACTGAAAGGTTGGCAGTTCAAACCCACGCAGCGGCTCTGCAGGAGAAAGAGGTGGCGATTTACTTCCATAAAGATTACAGCCAAGAAAACCCTATGGGGCAGTTCTACTCTGTCACATGTGTCGCTAAAAGTCAAAATTGCCTCAACAGCACCTAACCGCAACAACAATAGAGTGTGCACAGAAGCACTACAATAATTAAAAGTTGGAAACAACCAAATGTCATCAATAGAAGTCCATATAAATAGAGGTATATTATTACTCAGCAACAAGAATGAACAAACGACGGCGACCCGCACCAGCATGGACGAATCTCAAACATAATACCGAATGAAAGAAAAAAACCAAACCGGCTGCCATCGAGTCGATTCCGACTCATGGCGACCCTATAGGACAGGGCAGAACTGCCCCATAGGGTTTCCAAGGAGCGGCGGGTAGATTCAAACTGCCAACCCTTCGGTTAGCAGCCAAGCTCTTAACCACTGCACCACCAGGGCTCCTGAATGAAAGAAGCCAGACATAAAAGAGGACATAATGTGTGATTCCATTTATGTAAAAGACAAAAACAGGTAAAACTAATCCACGGTTTGGAAGTTACAGTAGTGGTTACGGGGAGGGAGGGGGTGACTAGATGGGGACATCAGGAAGCTTCTGGGTGCTGGCAGCGTTGTTTCTTGATATGAGTGGTGGTTCCGTGGATATATGAGATGTGCACTCACTATGTATATAATAAGTTCACGTAATAGAAAATGAGGCTACTTCCTTTATGGGACAAATGAGATAACATGTAAACTGTTTTGAATGGTCCTTGGATCTGCCCAACAAATGTGAGTGCCTGCCCTCCTGCCGATGGTCTTAGAGCCCCATGAGGGCAGGGGGTGTGACATTCTCACCTCTGTCCCCCTGAAGTAGCTGGTATACAACAGGCTGTCCAAAATGCTGACTGATTTGAATTTCATGTCTGAGCCTCCCTTCTGGCTTCTCAAGGCTGCTGCTCAGATACTTCATCAGGTAAAAACTCGTAACTACTTAAGCCCTTTGTTCACACCTACCCTCAAGCTGGATTTGCATTTTAGCAGCTCAGAAATGTGAAACAAAGGGGGAGAAACTCTGAGACGGAATTATAGATACCATCTAGGAGCTAGGGAAGGACCCGGGAGGTACAGGCACCGTTCTGGCCCTGTGAAAAGTCGAAACCACAAGGCAGAGGGAAGGGACACACTTTTGGCCTGAGGCACACAGGACACTGACTCCAGACATTTCAGGAATAAGGTCCACCATGATGCCTGCATTTCTCTTATTGGAGTTACTGGAATTCACGTCCCTGCCCCCAACCCTTCAGGGGCTTACATCAGATTTCCTAGAACCTCGCAGAAAGAGACATCACAAATCATCTGTTTGAGGATTGTTCAACTCTGCTTCAGGGGCCACCAGGGTGAGGAAGAGGAGCCAGATGGCCTCCCCCCACCCCCGACTTTGATCAGAACGGTTCTACTTTTTCCATACTCTATGTTGGGGTTCTGTGGAAGAGTTCACTGGAAAAAAAAAAAAAGTTTGAAAACCACTGCTGTCTGGTAACTCTCTTGTTTTACCAAAGAAGGAAATTGAGGTCCAGAGAGGGGAAGAGACTTGCTAAAAGTCACACAGCTAGCCCACTCCATCTGCCTCCAACGGTGGCCTCAGGGGTTGTGGAAGTCAGTGGCTTCCTGAGGGACAGCCTAGGAGGGGATCTCCAGGGGTGGTCTCATCACCCCACAGGGAGCTCTCAACCCTCATTAAGCCCTTTTTCTCACCAGCTCCAGCTCACCCTGCAGAGTGAACTTACCAAGTTCCTCATCCCACCTCACCGAGTGTGTGAAACAGGACCGTGCCAAGGGGCAGGCCGCAGTTTGAACCAAACACACATGAGTGTCCCCTCATATTCGCCACCCCCAATTGGGAATCATTACACTCAGGCTCCAGGGCGGCTGCCAGCAGAAGAGAGGGGGTTCTGGCGTTTACAGAGCCCCTCTGTGCATTCAGGGCTTTGACTCATTTCATCTCCACCCACAGTCTTTGATGAGGAAGCTGGGGCTCAGAGAAGGTCAGCCACCTGCCTGAGTAGACAAGAGAAAACTTTGTCTTTCTGGGGAAGGTCCAGCTCCACTTGGTGGTGTGCTTGCCCACCCCCACATCTAGCAAATAGGGAGGACCTTAGGGAAGTGGAGGGCTGCGGTGGTCAGGGGCAGTTTAGGTCTTCTCACTCCTGCCAGCCGGAAATTTGCCCCCCACCAGCAGATACAGCCACCCTCACAAACCGTCCCCCCTGCCCAAGCCTCTGACTCACCAGTGGGGCAACTTTAGGTGCTAAAAACCATCTTGAGTCACGGGTGGTTTGGGAGGAACAGGACTCTGAAGTGAAGCTATCTGTGAAGAGGCCAAGTCCTCAGAGCCCCTCAGTCAACAGGGTTGTCCCAGGAATACTTTACAAACGGGCAATTGGGGAATACGGGGTCAGAAACCATAGCAGCAGCCCCCAGCTGCCCTCTCCACTGGATTCTAGAGCACAAGGGTGTCAGGGGCTCTGCTCCCTCCACCTGCCCCCTGGGACCTTCCCACCTCACCTCTGAGGTAGCCAGCTGTGTTATCCCTCCTCCAGTGTGCCTCCCTAACCTACCACTACCTACCTGGCCCCAGAGAAGCTCACCTCTCTGGACCTCATCTTCTCCTTTGTAAGGCAGGAACACTAACTTCCACCTGGCAGCGCTATAGTGAGGGTTAGCCAAACCCACGCATGGCACCAGACGTCCACAATGCCTAGTACTGAGTCTCCATCAACGGTTGGCGGCCCTTCTATGCCCTTCTACCCCAGTCTGAAGCAGACCTGCCGTCCGCCCCCCACGCCCACCCTAGCCCTGCCCCGGGCCGGGGTCCTGATGGTGGGGACCACAGCTTCATTGGTCACCCAGGAGGCTGACTGTGAACGGAGCACTCCTCCCTGCGACCCCCATTACCTCCTTGCGCCACGGGGGAGCAGGGGATGTGAGAGGCGGCGGATGCTGAGAAGACCCAGCATCTCTCCTCCCGGGACTACCGGGTGCTCTCCTCCCTCAAAGGGGCCTGACTTGATAGAAGTCTGCCCCTCATCCTCGCCGGGTGCCAGCCCCCTGCCCGCCGCCCACCACAGCCGTCCTTCAGGTGCTAGGCTTCAGAGCGTGCCCCAGGGGTTCAGCCTCCAGGGCTCGGCTCTCAGGCTCGGGCCACAGCCTCAAGGCCACGGCCGGCCATACCCAGGGCGGCGGACCCGGGACACCAGAGTGCCCCGGAGCTCGTGGCCGCCGCCAGCCCCG